AAATCCCAATTTTGATAATATAGCATGTCGTACAATTTAATTTTACCCGATTCTGTTATTGGGCGACATTTTTTTGTGACATAACTATTTGATGTAGTAGTATCCGGAAATAGACCCTCAATAACTTGCCCCTTATGATCCGATAAGTGTGGTTCGATCACATAAGCCTCAAATATACAGTCAAAATTCATAAATATATTGTCTAAACAGTTTGTACCCCTTGTAGGCTCATGGATGAGTTGTTTAAGTCCATAGGAATTTAATAAATCGCGATCATCTGTATCAAACCTTACGTTGAAATCCCCACACATAATTATGCTATAATTGTGAAGTGCCTGCAATACCTTTTCGAGAACCCGAAGGAAGATGCCAAAATCACCTGAAGGCGATCTGTATATTGTTATAATACAAACTAGATTTGTGATACGTGCGGCACTCACCTCACAATGTTTATCTTGAGAAAAAGCATTTATATTATCAATACTTCGAACGTCGGCCCTACTCTCTTGCTTGGTCAGAATCAAAGCTCCTCCGCCTTTACAAGACTTTCTACAATACGATGAGACAATTACATAATTCTTAATATTAATAGACTCTAGTTCCTGCTCTTTGAACCAATGTTCAGTTACACATACATAATCATAATTTTTGTCAGCTAAAAAGGCGTCAAATTCATGAATCTTGTTCCGAAACGACTCTAAATTTATATGCATTATTGAATTTTTTTTTGTCCTTCGATGTTATGTCGATGTTCGACATTATGACTGGTCGTGGTTTTGAGTTTTCCCTAAAAAATGCTGACCTATGTGAAAATCGAATCGACTAAAACAGATTCCATTTGGCCAAAATTTTCCTCCGTATACGGTTGATTTGTGTTGAAGCGGCACGCCGATAATGAAACAGTTATTACATTTTGTTTTATGATACGGTGATACTTGCTTGACATCTACAGTTGGTCCTTCTTCTTTCAATTGCTTTGAAATATAATTTCTGACAGTTTCTTCTGTTACATCATCTCTGACTCTTGATAAAAAAAGCCATATCTTTCGCTTAGCTCCTACAAAGTCACTTTCATCCATGTTTTCTCCCACGGAGATTTTATTTCGTTTTCTTTTTTTCTTTTCCACAATTTGGAAATTCTCTTCACCAGCTGTGTTAATCCCATTTTGGTTAATATCATTATCCTTTACCGTCGCTTTAGGTTGTCTGTTCTTTTTTGTTAAGGAACGTCGTCGGTTTTGAAGTTTGTGGATTTGTCCTCTTTTGGGAGGAGAGAATTTGCATTTATACTACTTGAAACGCTCGTCAGTGTCGTTAAGTTATTTTGCGAAATCATATTTCTGATTTCGTTGTCAATGTCATTGTCTAATGTAATCGCATTGGAGTCTGATGTCCTGTTCCAATGGAACTTTCCGGTCTTGTTTTGAGTAGATCTCTCCGCCACTGGTTTGAGCGGGAATTCCCAGTTTTTCAGTGTGTTGTCATTTTTTGACACACTAGTGATAGTGTCCTCTGTTTTTGCGACAGTGTGGTCGGCTAAGTGGTTTTTGATGGAAATAATTTCTGTCATTAAAATTTCGGTGTTTTTTTGAAGAACTCGTAGTTCAGTCTGTATGAATGTTTCAAATTTTGTTGCCTTGACAAGTTCGTCCTTCTTTTGTTGGATTAGCTGTTCTTCCAGAATCCTATTTCTTGTGAGTAATTCTTTGATTACATTACATAATTCGTCGATGGATCGTTTTTGTTCGTTCGTCGTGTCTTTCAGGATACTAGTTTCCCATAGCACTGATTCGTGTATGATGGACTGATTCAGTTCTGAGTCATTGTCGTAAATTGTTTTGTTATCCTTGATGATTGTGTCTCCGTTTCCAGCATCACAACACTTTTTTTCTCGTAGCAACTAGGATGTGACTAAACACCACAATCGCCACACAGAAAATACGTTTTCGTACGGCAGGATTACAGCATATAGAATACAAAACTTTTAATGCATTTGATGGATCAACCGTTGCTGACGCCATTTTCACTACCAGTATGACCTATTTTTCTAAGAAAAGGTACTAGCCCCGCCCACCCACCCTTTATTTTCTTAGAAGAGTAGGTTATCTGCCAAAATCAATCTTATCTTGGCAAGTATGAGTTTGATTTTTGCAAATGATGTATTCTTTAAGAAAATAGACGGGGCTAGTACTTGTCAAGATAAGACTGATTTTGGCAGATGACTTATTATTGTAAGAAAGTAAAGGGTGGGTGGGCGGGGAAAGTACTTGTCAAGATGAGACTTATTTTGGCAAATGACGTCCTCTAAAAAAATAAGGGAGGGTGTGCGGGAGGCTAGTAGTTGCCAAGATAAGACTGATTTTGGCAGATGATTTATTCTTCTAAGAAAATAAAGGCTGGGTGGGTGGGGTTAGTACTTGTTAAAAATCAAAAAATGACAAATTGAAAAATCGGATAAATGAGGAATCGGAAAATTGTACAACTGTACAATCGGAAAATCAAAAACTAAAATATCGAAAAATTGAAAAAAAAAACAAATCTTATAAAATCGAATTCGTCATTCCAGTTTTCATTTTTTTTTTTTAGTTTTTAGATTTTTCAACTTTTGAATATTTCATTTGATAATTTGTTTGACAATTTTGCAGTTTTTAATTCCAATCTTTTGATTTTTCAAGTTCTAACTTTACAATTTTGGAATTTTTTGATTTTTAATTTTTCAAGTTCTCAAGTTAAAAATTTTTCCTTTTCACGATTTGTCATTTTTCCATTTTTTAACTAAAACAACAAATTTATTCGAACCAAAATTTTGAAACATCGAAAAATCCAAAAATTGAAAATGAGAAACAAAATTTTCAGATGTTTTAAAGCTACCGTAAACATGGTAAATCGCTGATCAAAATGACTTTTTACTCCCTTCCAAAAACTCGCTGACAAAAAATCAAAAATCGAAAATTAAAAAATAAACATCTAATTTCTCGATATTTTTAAAAATCAAATAATTGAGAAATCGGAAAACTGCTAAAACTGTAAAATTAAAAACCGAGAAATTGAAAAATTCGTAAGTTGAAAAATCGAAAAACTGAAGAATCTAGTAGTATTCACTACGATAAGACTGAGTTTGACAAAAGAAAATAAAAGTTGGCTAGTATTTGTCAAAATAAGACTCACTTTGGCCAATGACTTACTCTTCTAAGAAAATAAAGAATAGGTCATCTGCCAAAATCAGTCTTATCTTCGCAAGTATGAGACTAATTTTTGCGAATGACAAGGGTGGGTGGGCGGGGCTAGTACTTGACAAGATAAGATTGATTTGGCATATGACCCACTCTTCTAAGAAAATAAAGGGTGGGTGGGCGGTTCTAGTACATTTTCTTAGAGGGTAGGTTATTTGGCAAGTACTAGTAAATTTCGACCCATTTTCGACGATTTTCGAATTTTAACTAAATACTTTTTCTTGTAAATTTCAGGGGGCAGAAGTCACTTCCGGCCTCATTTCTTCGATACCTTCAACCTTTTTTCCAGAATTAGATAATTAATTCAGTGCATTGAAATATCACAATTTTTAAAAATTCCAAAAAATTCAATGCAACACGTACAAAAAGAAAATCTTGCGTCATTTTTGCAAGTAGGTGCATGTTTTCAAGTTCAGTTCGGATTGCAGAGTTTTTGTTCGGATTAAAAATACATCGACTTTACTAGCATCTGTTCGTATTACTGGATGTTCGGATAATCGTGGGTTCGGATTATAGAAGTTATAATATGTATTTTGCAATTACGCTCCGCCCCTCGGTCCAACAACGAATGAAAAATTCATCACAATTGAGATCGGGGCGGGTGGGGCTTAATCTTTGTTCGTATTTTTTAATATATAGAATTTTCTTTCAACAACAGGATAGTTAAACATGTTTTCAGTTTCTAGTTGGGAAAAGAACACTTTGTATATAAAGAAAAAATATAAGCCCCGCCCACCCACCCCTTCTCAGTTGTGATGAATATTTTATTCATCGTGAGCTAAAGGGCGGAGTTTAGTTGCAAAACAAAACAAAAAAAAAACTTCGATATATCTGCTATTATTTCTGGAGTTTTGTAAGCTGAAAGCAGTGTTAAAAACCGTGTTCGGAAATTTCCTTTAATAATTGGAATATTATTTTTTAAAAATATGTTAATAAAAAAAATTCACTAAAATTAAAAGAAAAATAAAGAAAGGTATGAGCAACATATGTTCAAAATTTTAAAACCATAGGTCTGTTAATAATGGAGATATTACATTCTGAAAATGACCAAAAATTCCACTCAGAAAACGTAACGACTGGCTTTAATATTGATCAATCCTATCTTAGCAAGTAGTAGCCCCGCCCACCCACCCTCTATTTTTCTCACAGAATGTCATTTATCAAAATCAGTCATATCTTAGCAAGTACTAATCCCGCTCCCCACTTACGCTCTTCTCATTCAAAGGACTAATTTTATTTCTGTTCAATATGGGATCCACTTTCTATCAGACCAGATGAAATTAATCACTGAAATGGAGGCGGGGTGGGTGGGCGTGGTTAATTATATGTTCTTGTGTAGAATGGGAGTGGGGCTGTTAAAAAAGAAAAAAAAGGCTAACCGTAATTTTCTGTTGGACTATTTACTTTAAATAAAAAAAAATCGTTAAACCTAAGCAATCATGTGCACGTTAACGCTTGGGGGTGGTGTGTAGTTCTGCTTGAAATTTCAGTTAGAGGGTTTCTGTGTGAAAGCATGGTGAAAAAACGCGGCTAATTCTTGCGGCTTTCTAATCGAAAAAATGCTAAGTTTTGACGACGCCAACACGTTGTGTAAATTTGTTTTAGTGTTTGTAAATTCACAATTCATGTTAGGATTTTAATCGTTAACTGGTTCTAACACAATTTAACAGACATTAGATTTGTTTGGATAAATACTTGCTAGGCATAATATTCATGCTTTACTATGTATAAAACAGTAGACATATAATATAATAACTGGACGAGGCGTTAGTGGTGCTCAGAAGATTTTGTTTGAAACGTGGCAATGTCCAACTGAATCATAATGATGAGATACGTCGATATCATCCCACACAGCTAAAAAAATACAAAAACAATATCAAAATTTATACGTAATGGAATATTGTTTTACCATTTGAATCATTCCAAAGTCAAAAGCAAATAGTCCACATACCATGAACTGAACCCTACGATGCAACTCGTGCAGGGAAAATACTTTCAGCTTAAAATACAACCCACTATCAAACTTAGTCGACCACACATTACTACTTACCACAAAATTTAGCTGTTCATTCTTTGAGTTTAACTGCAACCTGCTGATAACATATTTCAAACTGTTGAACTTAAAATAAAAACCAAGTCTTTATACATAAAGATGTAGGATAGAAAGTGTTTGGTACCTGCGTAGTTACACTGTCACAAAAAAATGCAAGCAAAATCATTTCAACTAACTGTAAAAACGCCCACTGAAGTGAAAAATATACAGATGCAAAATTTTCACTATTTAATCCTTCACTGTAACAAAAATAAATCTCTGTGATACATATCGCAAAGGTTGAAAGTACAATCAAAAAATTTTGTAGCCCATAGATTTCATTGATTATTTGACATAACTTGCATAAGTCGTTTTGGATGCCATGTAGCAGTTCCACTCTTGATACAAAACAATCATTCGAAGTTTTTAAAACCACTATTTTTCTCATCGATGCTGACTTCTCAATTCCTTCTAACACAACTTCAACATTCTTAGTTCTTTGTAAAATTATGTAAACACAGGTTGTAAACTGCACTTTTAGCAAACCTGTTGTTAAAATAGGAAAATATGAACAGAAGAGGTACAATATACTTTCATCTTTGATGAATAAAAAGTATTCTGGAATTAACGTTATGCAAAACTCAGCAGCTACTATCCCAAAAGCAGCTCTTATAAACACGTGTACTTGGGTATGGTCAATCTGCTTCTGTAACAAATCAAATTGTTTATCTATTCTAACAATTTTGTTGAAGAATAGTGCCAATTTTTTAGCGTTAATGCAATTCATGATCATTCCAAGAGTTTGAGTTACAGTTCCTGAGTATAAATCTAACCAGCCACTGGCATCAGAAACTGTATTACTGTCATACTGAATCATAACATCCTCTCCTAAGTATAAAAAACCAAAGAACAAAATTGTGGACACAATAATGCCGTAGATTATACAGAAGAAACTATGGGTGTAGACTTGCGAATTTTTTTGTTTTTCGATTGGCATTAATCCAAACAGTTTTGAAACCACAAACAATTCGCTGACTGACGAGTCAATATTGAGGGCATGTTGACCCATTGTGCTCTCAAGAAACAAAACGTTCATCATATAAAGTATGGTATTGATCTAATTATTTAAATTGTCGGTGGAATATAAGTGGTTATAAAATGATTACGTGGTATATAACAAGGTCGATTAAGATTTTTTTTACACACGTCAAAAGGGCATGATTATCGATTTTTCAGTTTTTCCATTTTACGATTTTTTATTTTTTCGGCGCTTCTATTTTGGGAATTTTTTCGTTTCTGTATTTTTCAGTTATTTTTGATTTTTCGATTTATCGATTCCTAGAATCTTCGACTTTTCGATTTCTCGATCTTTTGATGTTTTCAGTTTCCCGATGTTTCATTTTTTCGATATGATTTCCATTTTTCGACTTTTCGGCCGTTCGATATTCCGAATTTTCAATTTTCGAAATTTCGATTTTTCATTTATCTACTTTTCGATCCTTCGATTTTTCAAACTTTCGAATTTTCGCATTCTCTATTTTACAGTTTTTCCATTCTTGAGTCCTTTGACTTTTCAATTTTTTGCTTTTCGATTTTTCATAGTTCGAATTTTCAATTTTTTACTTTTCGATTTTTATTTGTTCTGTTTTTTAGTTTTAAGTCGAAAAATTGAAAAATCGAGAAATCCAATAATCGAAACATCGAGTTCTGGATAATTCGTAAAAATCGAAAAATGATAAAACTGAAAAATTGAAAAATTTAAAAACCAAAATATTAAAACATCGAAAAACCAAAATATCAAAATACGAAAAATCAAAAAATCTAAAACTTAAGAAGCCAAAAAATGAAACATCAAAAACCGAAAAGACAAAAAAGGAGAAATCGATGTTGAGCAATAGAGAAATGGGAAAATCAAAATATCCAAAAATCGAAAAATCTAATAGTCAAAAGGTCGAAAAGTCAAAAAATCGTAGAGCCGAAAAATCAATTGAATGAAAAATCGAAAATTTAGAAACACCAATAACAGGAATATTAAAAAATCGAAAAATTTAAAAATCGCAAAATTGAAGATTCCAAAATTAAAAAATTCTAAAACTCGAATATCGAAAAATTTTAAAATCGAAGAAAAACTGAAGAACAGAAAACTGAAAAGTCGCAAAAGTGGGACATCGAAAAACTGAGATAGGGGAAAATTAAATAATTGAGAAATCGAAAAGTCGAGAAACAGTCGAAAATATGAAAATCGAGAAACTGAGAAGTCGAGACATCGAAATTCAAAATATCGAAAAATCAAAAGATCTAATGGTTGAAAAGTCGAGAAGTTGAAAAATCGAGGAATGAAAACTCAAAAATCAAAATATCGATTGAAAACACCAAACACTCGAACATTAAACAATCGAAAAATTTAAAAATGGAGAAATTAAAGAATCGAAAAATTGAAAAATCGTAAAACTGAAATATCGGAAAATAGAGAGAAAAAAATAATCGAGAAATGAAAAATTGGAAAAATCGAGAAATTTAATAATCAAAAAATTGAAAAATCACAAAACCCAAAAATTGAAGAGAAATTGAAAATCTAAACATCGAAATCTGCATAATTCGAAAAATTGAAAAATGATAAAACTGAAAAATTGAAAATTAAAAAACCTAAAAATTAAAACATCAAAAACCGAAATATCAAAATACGAAAAATCGAACAATCTAAAATTTAAGAAACCAAAAAATTAAACATCAAAAATCCAAAAAAACAAAAAACGAGAAATCGAAGAAATTAACGTTATAACACGTGGTTTATTCCGTAAAAACTTTATTCAACAAAACATAGTATATACACTGCATAGACATAGACTGGTTACACGAGTTCTTAAAAATGGTCACTCCGCGGACGAACAGTCCTGATAACTCGTACACTCGCGAACACCCGGAGCGTTTTTCCACGGCCGGACCTGCGGGACCCCTCGGATACGCCGCTGATACTCAAGCCGACTTACTACTCGATTTGGACCTCCAAGACCCCTCGGATGCAAGGTGATACGCAAATGAGCTGTGAAGTTCGCAGATGGAAAAACTTGCCGAATCTGGCCGCTCGGGTCCTATGTAAAGGCGGCTAGAAATGCGTCGCGTGGGAGTGAAAGGGCGCACCGCCCTCTGGTAAGGGAGCGAGCGAGTACCGGGGTGCTGCGGCAGGGTAGTGGTGGTGCGTGGGCGTGACAGAGGGCGCTAGGGGTACTGATCGCGCTACAGTCTCCCCCTCAGGACCATAGGGTGCGTCCCCGCCTATTGGTCCTGCTGGATCTTTCTGGGGCGGCCTCGTCGTCGCAAGGGTTGTACCGGTGGCACGGGCTGGGTGGCTTCCTGCGTGGGAGGTTGGTACGGAACAAGGTCAGAGGCGTGATAGAGCCCTAGCACTACATCGGGCTGTTGGTGGGCGGCGATCTCGTAGCTCGTGGGGCCGTGCCTTCGTAAGACCACGTATGGTCCGTCTTGCTTGGGGGCGAATTTTGACGTGAACCCCTGGGAGGCCTTACTCAATCGGTGTGTTTTGACTAACACCAAATCTCCGGGGGCATAAGCGGTGCTTGTTTTTCGGTGACGGTCCTGGTCGCGTTTTCGCCGGTCTTGCTCGGACTCGTGTATTTCCCGAGCTCGTTTCAAGGTTTCGTCCAAGGTGAGTAACAGCGGTGTGGCCTCTGGTACGAAGTTCTCGCGGAGGGTGATTGCGCGGAGGTCGTGCGTGACGTCATCTACGGTGCGGAGGTCTCGGCCAAACATTAGGTACGCTGGGCTGTACCCGGTGCCGCTACACCATGCGCTGTTCATGGCGAAGCGAATGGAGGGTATCTTCTCGTCCCAATTTTCGTGGGGCTGGTTGCCAATCTGTATGGCGAGCTGCGTTTTCAGGTCGCGGTTTTTTCTCTCTACGGGGTTGGCCTCGGGGTGGTATACAGGGGTGAAGCTCTGGGTGATACCTAAGCAAAAAGTAATTTTCTGCATTACCGCGCTTATGAATTGGGTCCCATTGTCGCTCACGATACGACGGGGAATACCGTATCGGAGGAACACCTCCGTTACCAAGGTGGTGGCGCAGGCTTCGGCGCTAGCTTCAGCCAAAGTGAAGAGTTCTACCCATCTGGTTGCATAGTCCTCTACGATGAGGACCCATCGGTGGTGTTCTTTGGTTGGGGGCAGTGGGCCAAATAGGTCTACGGCCAGTACTTCCATGCGGTGTCCCATTGCTGGGGTTTGTAGTAGGCCAGCGGGCTTCAGATTTGGGGCTTTGTAGCGTTGGCAGTCGATACATCCCTTCAGGTAGTCGGTAATATATCGTCGCATACCCGTCCAATAGTATCTTCGCTTGACCCGATAGTATGTTCTTTCGACGCCATAGTGGCCGGCGGTGGGTGAGTCGTGGTACTCGGCCAGTACTCGGGGTCGTTCGTGTTTGGGGACTACTAGCTGAGCCTCCTCACTCTCTCCATCTTGAGAGTATCGGTAAAGAACCCCTTGGTTGAGTAGGTAGCCGCGAGAGGTCCACTGCTGGGAAATCTCGGCTTGGGCGTGGACCAGGTCGTCCATAATCTTCCTAATTTCTTCGTCCTTGCGCTGCTCGCTTCGTAGTTCGTTGGCTTTACGTGTGGGGAGGTCCACTTCTACGGAGTCGATGGCCACCTCGGGTAGGTGGGGTCGTGACAACATGTCTGCTACTACGTTGGCCTTACCGGGCGTATATTCGATGGTCAGGTGGTACGGCTGCAGCTGCAGTGCCCACCTCGCTAGACGTCCGGTCGGTGTCTTTAATGTCATCAGCCATCGGAGGGGCTGATGGTCGGTGATGACCACGGTTGAGGATTCTTCTAGATACCCACGGAATCTTCGCACGGCCCAGACAATGGCGAGGGCTTCGCGCTCCGTGGTGGTGTAATTCTGCTCGTGGTTCGTGAGCAGGCGGCTTGCGTACTCGATCGGGCGCTCCTCCGGGCCCTCCCCCTGGAGTAGAGCCGCTCCTAGGGCGTAATCGCTTGCGTCTTCGCCACTAATTTTCTCCAACAGGCTCGCGGTTGTAATGAATTCTTCTACACTCGAGGCGTTGCGGGAGCCGTCGAACCGAGCCGGGCAATGGCTGAAGTGTCTCGTTCCTGAAGATGGGTGCGGATCGGCTTCTCGGAGCCTCGCGACATCCCTGATGCCGTTTATCAGTTCGTTGAATTGTTCTGCGGACATTTGAATCGTCATCCCGTTGTTGGTTCGCGGACTTCTTCGCGTCGGAATCTTCGTTTTTCGCGAAATTGTGGTCGTTTTCGGGCCGCTTCGTTGGGCGTCACTTTTTATAACAGACGCCTTCTTCGTGCCCCACGTTGGGCGCCACTTTTTATAACACGTGGTTTATTCCGTAAAAACTTTATTCAACAAAACATAGTATATACACTGCATAGACATAGACTGGTTACACGAGTTCTTAAAAATGGTCACTCCGCGGACGAACAGTCCTGATAACTCGTACACTCGCGAACACCCGGAGCGTTTTTCCACGGCCGGACCTGCGGGACCCCTCGGATACGCCGCTGATACTCAAGCCGACTTACTACTCGATTTGGACCTCCAAGACCCCTCGGATGCAAGGTGATACGCAAATGAGCTGTGAAGTTCGCAGATGGAAAAACTTGCCGAATCTGGCCGCTCGGGTCCTATGTAAAGGCGGCTAGAAATGCGTCGCGTGGGAGTGAAAGGGCGCACCGCCCTCTGGTAAGGGAGCGAGCGAGTACCGGGGTGCTGCGGCAGGGTAGTGGTGGTGCGTGGGCGTGACAGAGGGCGCTAGGGGTACTGATCGCGCTACAACGTAACAAAAAATTGAAAAATCATAATAATTGAAAAATCCCAAAATTGCAAAAGAAAAACCGAGATATCGAAAAACTGCAAAAAATTGAAATATTTAAAAACCAAAAAATTAAAACATCGAAAAACTGAAATATCAAAATACGAAAAATCGAACAATCTAAAATTTAAGAAACCAAAAAATTAAACATCGAAACGAGAAATCGAAGAAATTAACATAATAAAAAATTGAAGAAT